ACCACCAGTGTGCAGCCCCACCTGGATGATGCGACAGCAGCCATAGTGCACCAGTACACTCCCCACACACCAGCTATCAGTGGGGAGGAGAGCAGAGTAATGAAGCCAATTCAGAAATGGGGGTTGTTAGGATGCCATGATTTGTAAGGGCCAATAGGAAATCTGGCCAGGATGCCGGGGTTACACCCCTGCTCTATTCGAGAAACACCCTGGGATTTTTAATGACCACAGAGAGTCAGGACCTCAGTTTTATGTCCCATCTGAAGGACGATGCCTTTTTACAGTATTGTGTCCCCCTCGCTATACTGAGGCATTAGGACCCACACAGAGCGCAGGGGACACTCACCTTTTATAGGCTCTATAACAAATACATCTCAGGTTGTTTTAACTTGTAATTCAAAAGTCGGCAGGGATATGGCTGAGTTTAGGAATGGAAAGCCAATTTTCAACTTTCAAAATTCTCTTTTTGACATAAATTTAAAAAATCTTTTGTGAATCAGTGATTTTTACCAAGAACACTTTGTGCAGAAACCTTTGCTTGAAAAGTGCTATATTGAAATGCAGGTTGACTAACACCTCCACTAAGACTCAAAACATCCCCCCCCAACAATACAGACAGGAGCACTGAACTGGCCGCTTTCTGGACCTTCAGTTTCTCTTCCTCGCTGAAGACCAGTTTGGAGGACAGGTCAGTCTTGGACCCCGCCAGCTGCCCCAGCTTGTCCTGCAGGTCCCCGAGTTTGCTGAAGAGGCGCTCATTCTTGTCCCGGAGCTGGATCTGCAAGCGAACAGGGGAGTGTATCAGGCATCACGCTCCTCATTAACAAGACCAGTCACACAGGAGTGATAGCAATTCCACCCATCTGGCCCACTTGGTAGCTGGTAGCTGGCCTTATCCTTCTGTTTCTTGAAAAAAGCCAGGGTATCAGCTTCTCAACAATGTGCACGGGTAGCCTGTTCCATACACCCACAACCCTTTGGGTAAAGAAGTGTTTCCTGTTCTCAGTATTAAATGCCCTTACGCATACTTTCCAGTTGTGACCTCTGGTTTATGTTTCACTGTACATCACTGGCCTTGAAAGGTGTCTATTACATGAACGAACAACCCTGGACCTGAAGAGAGCAACAGTCAGGCAGAATTTAAGGGTCACTCACCACATTCTAAACACGTGAACAAGTTCACGTTTAGAGAACCAGTGAAATAATTAAAAATTAAAATGGCAACAGCTGTGGAAAGTAGTTTGCATGTGTAGCACACGTTAGGCGAGATGGAGCGACAGCAACACTTCAGCACAGCTGACCAGTACTTACATTTTCATTGGTTAGCCGGGCAATGTGCTCCCGCAGTTCGCTCACGTTTCCCGAGTCTTCAGGGGAATTCATTTTTATCAGCTGGGGGAAAAATGGACTTGTTTGCATTTATATCCGACAAAACATTTGATGTCGCTCAAATGTGTGCAGTATGGGTCTGTGCTCTTCGGTCACTCGCGAAAACCCCACGGCGTTTCCACCAACAGCCGTTGCTAAGGAAGTATTAGAGAGGTGTTGCAGTCCGGAAAGCCACAACAACACAACACCTGTCGCCTGCGATTAAAAACACAAATCCTGTATTTACAGTTTTATAGACGTAGTTTTTTTCACATGGTCATTTAATCAGATTTACATGTTTTTTATGAATAAAAGTTACGTGTTTTTGTCACCTGTCAAGCGGTCATTGTCAGGACTACAATGTGCCTAAATAACGTTGTTCTTAGAGTCAACACTGGATCTAACCCTTAGACCTAACCCAGCTCATGAGATAGTGTAGTGCTACAAATAGGTATCCATTTCCAGACCAAGGAAAAACCTTTTGTATTTAAGTTTACAACAACGAACATTTTATTTTAAAAGCACGACTATTTTCACTTTCTTTTTTACACCAGACAAGACACTGCACCTTAATAATACGGTTTTTTAAAATTATTTTTACAATATATACTGCCTGCTATTGCAGCAATGCTGCGCATCGGTTCCAACAGGTATTTTGAAAAAGAAAATGAGCCACATCAGCGCCCACGCGCGGAGACGGTTGGCATTGCACCCCGAACCGCCGGCGCCGTGCAAAGGCGAAAAACCGCCGAAATACCACTGCTTTTCCCAAAATAATTTTTTTAAAAAATGGATGACGAGCCACAGCCCATGCCCCGGCGGGATCGTCGAAGGAGCATGTTTGAAAAGGGGTTCATCCAGGAGATCCTGCAGGACCGCCTGAAGGACGCCAACCTTGAGGTCACCCACGTCGACGAGGCCGAGGAAGACGACCTGTTCCCGGAGAAGGGCGGCTCCGCGGTCTGGAAGCCCGGCCTGGGGAAGGCGAAGCTGGCCAACACCTACAGGATGGAGCCCGCGCGCAAGTTCCAGACGCGCCCGGTGCAGCAGAGGTGCGAGGAGATCATGGGCGAGGCCTTTGGCGCGGCGACGTACGAGCCGGCCGCCTGCCGGGACTTGGCCTGCAAGGTGGCGGATGACATCTTGGGCTTCGCCAAGGAGCAGGGGTTCGGGCGCTACAGGTACGTCGTCAGGATCATCGTCGGGCAGAAGAGGGGCCAGAGTGTTAGGGTGGCAAGCCGGGCGGTGTGGGACACGGAGAAGGACAACTTCATCTCCCTGACCATCGAGAACAGCTCCCTGTTCGCAGTGGCCACAGTCTATGCTCTGTACCTGGAGTAGGTGAGGAGTCCACTGTCCAACACTGCCACCCTGTGATGCTGGTAAAATGTCGTTCCAAATCATTATCTTTCAAGGGGTTAAGAAGGACTAAGCAGCAGCAGCTGTGGGAATCAATCCGATTTATATGCTTGCTTCCAATATGATAAAACATGCTGTCTGCTGCTTTGAGATTTTATAACTGATTAAAAGAAAATTGCACCTGTGCCTTATTTCACCTTGGACGCCTTGGAATGTCCCGTGCTGCCACAGAAAGTTCCCCCTGTTAGTCTGGGACAGCTGGTGGGGTTGAGATGAGGCGGTTCTCCATCCACAGGAGTACTCCAGGACTAGGGTTGAGCTCCAAACTCTTGGGGGGTATTTCCGAGCTCAGGGCCTGAGTGCAGAAGAAAAGACGCCACAAGCCAAGCAACTATAGTCACCAATTCGGACTCGTGTTCAAAGGATCCAACTGGACCAGAAACCAGCAGACACAGGGGTACACCAGGGCCAGGATGGTGTGTACACTGCCAGGGTCTTTGTTTCAATCCAGCACTCAGCTACTAATTACTTTAGAATTAAAGCAATCCTTTCAACTGAATAAAAACGCCTGCAAATCCCCAAGGACTGGTGCTTTGCAAGAACAGGGCTACTGACCACTGCACTCACCTCATGAAGAGATCATGTCACCCACAGTTCCACAGATTATCTCTGCAAGAATGTCTTAGCAATGGCTGCAGTCTTTGCAACATAATGCTGAAGCATTATTATATTTCAAAAGTAATAGATAATATAAACAGGCTTTGAAACAAGGTAACACAAGATATCTGCAGCAGACTCAAAGTAAATGCAACAAGTAGGCAAAAGATTTTTATTTAAGCAAACATACTGAACTGCATTTGGTCCATTTCTTGAGGTCTGGATGATAAAACACTTTAACAGACCCAAATCTCACATTAACATCTGAACACGAATGATCAACCTTTAACTGAGAGCACAAACAAAAACGTAACCCCTGGCAAAGCAACATTTTTTGAAACTATACAATAATCTCAAACAAGTTCCCACATCCATTCCAGAGTTTACAAATCTGTAACAAGTCTGTTGGTTAAAGGAACACAAATTTATGTTTTGGATTGAAAACATATTGTGGAACTTCACAAAAGGCATTAAAGTTGCATCAGAAATTAAGGTTGTAAGACATTATGTTCTAGAAATACAGTTCTTCTACAACAGTGAAGAAGTGAACCATTGTGAGACACATTAGTTTGAAGTATGCTGTAGTTATTTCCTGTCTTTCTGTATTTCTGAATACATTCAAAAATGTTCAAAAACATCTGAAGGAATGCAAAGATATATTTGCTGCCCTGAAAATATACTAGGAATCTAAAAATTCTATTAATGAAAATGAAATTCAGATTGTAATACATTTCTCCAGAAATACAGTCTGTTGTAAACAAAGTAATTTTTTCAAATGGAATGGAACGTTTTTTCCCCCAAAGCTCGATATGAAGTACAAATGCACCCTCTTTCATATACTATAGTTATAACACTACAAAGCTTATTGTAAATAGCATTTACATTCTGTTACACGAGACGCTTTTCAATTTGGAATTCAAATTGTTAATCAGCTTACTGCTTCACACCCAGTTTTGCCCAGGATGAATGAGGACCTGTATGGCTCTATGAGTCAGAGCCACTGTCACCGTGACACACTCTGAGCTGTAGCCATTAGAGAAGTGATCTCAGTGACGTCACTCCAGGCTCACCTGGCAGGTCACTTAGCACTTGTATAGCCCTAAGCTATAAGGACACTTTATAGATTCTAATGGTTCCTTTCTTATCAGTCATGATGAGGTGTCCTCGGCTATCAGCAGTCAACAGCTTTGGAGAATAACCCTGTCCTTTAAAGTTCAGAAGCTCTCGCACGAAATCTCCCCTGGGTGTCAGTAAAATGACCCTTGTGCCTTCCAACGCATAAATGTTGTCCCACTTGTCAATGCAGACACTCCGTGGCCTGAAGCTGCCGGTCTCTGCAGAACTGCAGGTGTTGATGATCTCCCCACTCCTCTTGAAAACTACAATGGATTTCTGCATGGAGACGACGAATTCTTCCCTGCTGTTTACTGCCAAAAAGACAAACTTCCCTTCAAGGGGGGCATCTGGTTCGACTCGGCCCTCCAGCGTGCCTCTAGGGTCATACAGGGAGAGGCAACAAGACTGGCCCTCGCTGACTGCGATGTACTGGTCCTGATAGGCCGCGATGGCGTATTCAGGGTGGGAGCCCCGCAAGTTGCAGACCTGAGCTATATCATCGTCCTCTGTGATTTTGTACACCCTTGCCCCGGCAGTGAAGTAGATGGTGTCTTCACAGACCGCGAGACTGAAGGGTTTAAGGTTATCCCAGTCAGTATCATTGGTGGAAAAAGTGTTTCTCACATTCCCATTTCGGATTATCTTCTTTATGAGTAAGTTACTGTTATCAGCAATAACAATGTCGCCACCCGGGGACAGGCCGATTCCGGTTATATTTTCATAGTATCCGCTGTTGTCGTCATCGGTTTCAAACGAGCGTATGAAAATTATGGAAGCTGGGTTATGGACAAGCCCAGAGTGAAGCCAAGGTAAGCTGGAGGCTAGTGGCTCTGGTGGCCAGATTGGAGGTGCGACTGGTGTCTGATTACCAGTCTCCGCAGGTGTTGGAGAAGAAGCTTTTGCTTGCGCTTCAATGCAGGGATCGTCCACTGTCTGACTGGCCACCTCCGGACCACACGGTTCAAATTTTAACTCCAACATCCCAGTTAACAACTTGTGTTGATCGGGTTCTTCCTTAATGAACAAAACAGGGGTTTTCTTCTCAACTGCGGCGATCTGGAGTCGCTGCAGGCGTTCAATGTGGCCCTGAATGGTGCTCTCCAGATCCAGGATCTCGCAATCTTTCCCCATCTGCATGACCTGCCTGGAGAAGTCCCTGGTGCTCCGTGCCGAGCTGATGTGACTCTGGAGCTCTCCTTTGATGGCCAGGTAGTTCCGTTCCTGCTGCTGGACAAACGAGGACAGCTCCTCGCACAAGGCATCCTTGCGCGCCAGGAGGAGGTCGACCAGCGCGGACACGCGCCCCGAGATCTGGTCTCTAACGGCGCCTTCTGCTTCCTTCAGCCTCTGTACGGCGGAGTCCACCTCCTGCTCCTGCAGCGAGAGACCCGCCACGCTGCCATCCAGGCTGCCGATCAGTCCCTCCAGCTGGGGCCTCCTGGCTGCCAGGGCCTGGGCCATGGACAGGACCTGGTGGGGGAAGTGCTCCAGCATGCGGCAGTCCCGGCAGATGGGGGTAGAGCAGGTGGCGCAGTAGAACCTCAGGGGGTCCTGGTGGCTCAGGCAGTGGCGCTCCTGCTTCCTCCTGGCCTCCTCATCGTAGCGACCCGAGGCGTAGTCCTGCAGGCTGACCACGCTGTGGTCCACCGTCACCTTGGAGCAGCGGTGGCCCTGGGTGCAGGACGAGCACAGGAAGTCGGCGCAGTCCAGGCAGCGGGAGGAGGCAGGCTCCGGGGCCTTCCCCAGGGAGGGGCAAAGCGAGCAGAGGGCCTGTGTGTCGGTCTTGGCCCTGAACAGGTCCAGGAGGCTGTTGATGAAGAAGCTGGCTTTGGCGTTGCCCACACAGCCCTGGAGGTCAGTCACCGTGCGACACTCCGGACAGCAGACGGTGCCCTTCCGTTGGTCCAGGAGCTTTTTTAGACAGGGCTCGCAGAAGGAGTGCAGGCAAGACAGGGTTCGGGGCGTCCTGTACACCTCAAAGCAGATCTTGCACCGCAGGAACTCCTCCTCTATTTGAGCAGAAAGCTCAACGTTAGTTGCTGCCATGGCTCTGGTGCTCTGATGGAGAAAAAAAAAAAGATTTTTAAAGTCTTTAAGATGTTATTTGCACATATAATATTTTTCCCCCCAATGAAGAGACTTGCCGAACAGCTCTAGCCTGTGCACAAATGCCTCAAATCGACCTCTGCGCTCTGGTAGTAATAGTCCTTCTTTGCAGCTAATTTGCCGATCGTTGCATTAGATATCTTAACTATATGGAGAATTTCCGGTGGAGTTTTCCGAGGAATCGCTCGATTCCGTGCAAGCAGTTGACTATTTGTGAAAATAAACTGAAAAACAAAAACACGTTATTGACTTATTCAGCACTTAGTTCATTCGTTGACTAAAATAACGATTCCGTGGTACCAAGGGACTGATATCTGTCAAAAACTATTCTCACAGACATCAAGGACTTCCTTAATTATCCTGGTTTAAAGATAGGATTAAGACATTTTTGTTAAATTAAAGACCCGTTTCAGTTTTAAGTCTCTGCATTACTTTTTGACATTATTTCTGCATATGGGGGATTCAAGTATTTTAACGTGTGAAAGTGTCAAACAAATTAACATTAATTCTGTATTCTATATTCGATATTTCTTAAACGGCTTTATATTTTAATTTAAACTGAAAACGTAGTATGCTACTCTTTAAAATACTGACAAGCGCCTTTATAAGACGTTTTTAGCGAGTTCAAGTCAGAAACGGTAGAAATGTCGCCGGACTTCTTCTCTTCCTGGTTTTAAAATGTTTTGTTTACGATCGTGTGCGAGTTTTTTTTCCCCCCATACGCGTTCGTATTTTTTTAACCAATCTTACTCCTCACCTGTTCAAAAAGTCGATTTTTATTTATTTTTTTAAAAATAAAAACTTAGACCAACTACAAGTTGCGGATCTTACCTTTCAGACTTTGTCCACCTTGGAAGGGAAACGGTACGCCAGAAAAAAACGGTTTACGGCCAACTCCTACACATTCTCGATAGTCCAGAGCATAAAATGTGACGTAAACCACATTATTTAAAAAATATATATATTTATATTCCTAAAGAATGGTTTTTATATTTCGGTAAGGAAGTCTGAGGTGTTCCTTGTGCTTATATTTCAACTTTCACTTTCGTTTTTCTTACAATCAAAACTTAAGGCATTCTTTGCAATTGCAGATGTGTTTTTTTTTGTACACAGGGAAGTATAATGGAGGCGGCACGGTGGTGCAGCAGTTAACATTGCTGCCTGTAGCGCTGTGGCCTTTAGTTATATTCCTGGGGTGCTATCTGCTTGCAGTTTGTGTGTTCTCCCTGTGTTTATGTGGGTTTCTTCTCACAGCAGAAGGGAAACTGCTAGGTTAATTAATTGCCTTTTGGAAAATACTAGCCCTGTTGTGAATGTGCTTGTGTCTGTGTTTATATCTGTCTGCCCTGCGATGGACTGGTGTCCCATCCAGGTTTTATCCTGCCTTGAGACCTTTGCTGGCTGGGATAGGCTCCGGATCACCTGCAACCCCGGACTGATGGATGTATGATGGAGAAGCTTTGTTTCTTGTTGAAGAAGATGACCCCTGTGTGATTTTTTTTCACCCCAGGTCCTAGATATTTGTTTCAGGTAAGTGGTCATGAAGACACCATACTCACTATATTTGGTACTCTGCTGCATACTGGAAACCTGTGCTGATTGGATGGCAATTGGAAGAGCAACCCAGGACTGTTTGTTTCAGCCCCCAGAGAGCAATGAAGCGTATTGATACAGTCACACAACTGGTTTATCCTCAAGTCAGGAAGTTGGGCAACAATAATAATAGCATTAGTTCAACTTGGTAGGTGCGTCAGCATGCATAGGGTGCAGAGTCTTCTGAACAATGAGAGTTCAGAAAAATAATTCTTTATACTTACATAGCACTTTACTGGACAATCCACTCAAAACTCTTTACAGGAAATGGCGACTCTCCTCCACCACCACCAGTGTGCAGCCCCACCTGGATGATGCGACAGCAGCCATGGTGCGCCAGTACGCTCCCTGCACATCAGCTCTCAGTGGGGAGGAGAGCAGAGTGATGAAGCCAGTTCAGAGATGGGGATATTAGGAGGCCATGATTGGAAAGGGCCATTGGGAAATTTGGGCAGGACACTGGGGTAACACCCCTACTCTTTTCGAGAAACACCCTGAGATTTTAAATAACCACATAGACCAGGACCTTGGTTTTACGTCTCATCTGAAAGAGGCGGCCTTTTTTTGTTTTACCCACCCTTTTTTCTAGTGACCCCATCATCAGGACCCACACAGACCGCAGGGCGAGCGCACCCTACTGGTCCCACTAACACCTCCTCCAGCAGCAACTTTGGCTTTCCCATGAGGTCTCCCATCCAGGTACTGGCAAGGCTCCCACTAGCTAAGCTTCAGTCGATTGCCAGTTGTAAGTATCATGATGATATAGCTGCTGGCAATTCATGACAGTTATGATAGCTGACCTGGGAAGAATGTGAGGCAGGCTGTCTGAGCAGAAGATACAGGTCACGTACAGCAGGACACAGGCTGATTTGTGCTTGTCATTATTATGGTGTTAAGAATGCCCATTTTGACTCGCTGTGCCCCTATATTGGAAAAAACAAACAAAATCCCAGACCTTTAATACATCTCAGAAGAAAACGAATGTGGTCCTGATGCATCAATTAGGGTTACTGCAACAGCGGCAAAATACAGTGCATTAGATCACAAGGGGGAAAAGGATCCAGAGTGTAATTAGTCAAAATTGGTACTTTTTGAATTGCTACAGAGTTTAGATACCAAGATCAGTTGGTACAACTTGCGCAGAGCGATTCCATGTTATCTTTAACTGCAGTCTGATATGGTGACAATGATGACTGGAAAGATAAAAGCATCACACTGCCTGCTGACATGTACTGTAAATGAGTGAGACTGCAACCTCTTCTGTAGTCTTTAATGTGGTTTAATAGCCTGTGTGCGTTCTCTATATCAGAGTGCAATAAAGGGGTACTTGGGCACCCTGGGCAAAACTTTGCATTACAGTCAGGTAAGATGGTGAAAGTATGGACATTGCTAACATGAAGTTTTGAATCCATATGCAGCCTGTTAAGGCAGAGAGTTAAGGTGTCTTTGTCAGTATTATTATTCAAGGAAATGTGTTATTCTCCTTTCAACGGTATTTCACAGTGCATAGGAGGTGAAGAAACAAAAATGATTCTACTGATTAGAACAGGTTCACTAATTCTTTCTCTGCTGCAGTGCCATTTTACTTTAATGGCTTTAATCCAAGGGGGCGCTTCAGGTCCATAAGCCGTGGTTTAAGAGCTCGGACTCGGGATTTTCCGTACGCCTTCGTGCGAGGACAACTGCTGTTGTCGGGGTAACGAGAAGCGACGCCGCTGCTTGTCGCTGGTGGCAATAAGGAGGAAAGGCCCGTTCTCCTCTGTCTCTAACACTGGCTAGAAATTGACTACAGGAAGAAAACCGAACCTACAGGTAAAAGTAAAAATATTTTTTGTGGGTGTTCCAAAAATATTTTTCACTCTGGGGTTCTGGACAAGCTGGCTTTGCCGTGCAGCAGGCCCACTGAGCCCCGTTGTAGAGTTGATTATCCCACCCGGTTGAGATGGAGATTGAGTCGGCTGAATCCGTTTTGGAGAGAAGCATTTGTCCAGAAATGGAAAATGTAAACTTTATGGTTCAGCTGTGTATTTTCGGGGGAAAAAAAACAACTTCGTTTTAAGACGCAGGGAACTGTCTGTTTGGCTAGTTGACGTCTCTTCAGTGGCGAACGTGAATTCATTTATGGAGAAAAACGTTTTGTCCTTTCAGAAAACGTGATATTTTTTCAATAATATGGGGGGAGTAACACAATTAAGTGAGAACTGTACTTTCTTGGTTTGGTGGAACTGTGTTTTCTGTTGTAAAAAATACAATTCAAGTTTTAAGTTCATTAAACTAAGCGGAGTGCCTGTTCTCGTTCATACAGTATTAAATTTTCTTAGCGCCCCTGCTTGCTCTGCTAACCCTTTATGTATTGATACATTGATACAATATATATATATACTGTACAATCCTGTAATTCGCCACAGAAAGAGCGATTCTGTAGTGTCTGTTTAGGAGCTGGAAATATAAACTCATGGAGTTGTTAAACCAAGAAAGACATGACACCCGGTATTGACAACCTGTCAAATTGTTACTGTAAACTTTAAATTATATGCGATAAAAATCATAGATGTTGGTGCGTAGAAATCTGGTTGTTACCGTGTCAAGAATACCTACTTCCACGTACAGCGTCCTCTTGGAATCTACTGCTTTCACGTTGTGAAGGAGTGGTATTATTCTCAAAGGAGAAATTGTAAAGCTTTGTCCACAACAGGCGCTACGTTATGTGATTAAGTCAACCATCTGCCCCATCCAGGTGAGCTGACACCAGAACTGAGACCAACTTTTCAAGCAGACCCACAACCATAACGTACTCAGTTGGTCCAGCAACCAGGTTTTCTAACTGTATTTGAGTAGATCCCGATTATCGAGAATCAAATCTACGTTTTAATCTTTGATGCACAAAAAAGAAACCCTAGAAGAATTCAGTCCTCCCATGATATGCCGTTGAAAAGTAGAAGTATCGTTTATATGGATTCTTACCAAATATTGGAACTGTCTGTTATTTATTGTTAGATATTAGGACTGTCTCAAGGCTTATGGAAAATAATTGATGGTTTTAAGTGAGCCTGCAGATCTAACCCCTTATAAGTGTTGTTAGTCCAAATGCAGATGCAGATCTATGTCATGTTGTGTGTATCTCTTGAATCCTCAGTGGCACACCCCAGCAGGGCCCAGCACTGGGGATATGGCGGTGTATTTTGATCACCATATTGAGGCTCCTGATTCGAGTGGGGCTCCCTGTGAGATTGCGTGGCACTCTTCCCAGCCTGTGTTAGCAGTAGCCTCTGTCAGTCCTGCCACGGGGGGCAGTGTTGATTTTTACCTCCAACAGGTGAGTACCAAACCTGAGCCACGTGAAACTACTGTTCTGTATTATTTGTATGTAAGGCTGATTTATTTGCCAAAGACCCACAAGTCTGTAAGCAGGGTTCCCCATCCTGTACCTTGAAAAAATACATAATTAGTCAGGGTCTAAAGATGTGATTCGTGATGCTTGTAAGTGAGTCTTTGACAAGTATTCCTCTGACACTGGAACTTAATCTGTCTGTAAGTAGTTCTGTATCCCATTGCTAGGTTCTGAAGTAATGCTAATATCCAACTCCTTTGAAACACCAGAAAGCACAACACCTTATTTCTCTGCTGCTGTGTTTCACAGGGAGAGCATGTTGGTAACTCGCATGTGGAGAGGCCCTTCCAGCCCACTGTACTACACTGGCATCCCAGCAAAATGGTGCTGGCAGTGGGCTGGGAGTCAGGGGAGGTGCTGCTTCAGACCTACCCAAATGGGGAGCAGACCACCCTGCCCAGCACACACAGTGCCTCCATCACCTTGCTGGAGTGGAGCACCAATGGCAGCCACTTGATCACTGGAGACCAGGTATATATGAGTAGGCAAACTTGTGATACATTGACAAACGCCAAGAACATCAAACATCACTTCACAGGGGAGCATAGGTACCACTGGAGTATATAAAAGGAGTATATAAGGTCCCTAAGTGTCGCAGCCTTAGAGTGCTTAAACAAATCACCTTTGTAGTAAGGCACATCCACATTGGTAGATGCATTCTGTATTAATTGCGTATCGTGTGTTACACATGAATTTTCAATTCACTGTTGGCCATAACGGTGCTTTACCATTTCAGATCACCTATATTCCCTCCCACTCAAGACAAGCTTTACTCTATCTCTGTCACTAATGCAGTGGGGTCACACTCAGTTCTTTATAGCAGAGACTTCAGGCTTTTATTTCCTTTAGTCTTGCACTCATTTATATAATGCCTGCCACCTTTTATTATGTGGGAGAATGTTACACTTCTGTCCAGGCCTTAATCAGATATATCTTTTAAATGATCACCTTTAAGTGACCTTGAAAAATCTTAAGGATCTGTTCCAGTTGAGAACATAACAAAGCCAATTGATATTCTTAAGAGCTTAAATTAGTATGGGGACCATAGGACCAGGCACAACACTACTGAACTAGCACTACAGGCATAGCACTACTGAACTAAGATAAATGCATATTAACGGGAAACTGAGGTTAAAGAGTTTTCCTTCCGTATCCAATTCTCCATCTCTATCAAATTTAACTTTACCAGAGTAGCTTTTAATATAAATACTAAGGTAGTCTTTAAATGTCAGGAAGTGGGAATTGTTCCTTTTAAAGGTTTTTTTAAAACTTGTATCATTTGTTAATAGGTATTCATATCATATACGTTTGTGACCAACTTCCTTTTTCCTTTTTTTAATGTGAAATGCGAGAGTTGATGTGCAGGGGTCGGTGTGGTTCTTTCTGTTTCTGTGCAGCTGGGTGTCCTGGCACTGTGGAAGGTGGATGCCCGTGGCAGGCTGCAGGGGTCCCCTCAGGTGAAGCATGAATACGGCAAGCCCTTGACATGTGGTGTCATCAGGCCTGTGCCCCCTGGAGAGTGAGTAACTGTGGCGTGCACGTGTTGTGGGATAAAGCAGAGACATTCATTTTAAAAGTTATTATACCCTGAAAAAAAAGGTTTGTGTTGCCTGGATAATCCTTCCAGCTGGCTGAGATTAGTATGTTACTTCCTAAAGTTCAGCTCTTGAGCCTTCCTCAAACAGACTGTACATTAGAAAATTAGCAAAAATTAGCACATTAGTAATGAGCAAAACTGAGTTACAGTACATCTCCTCTGGTGTACATTTATTTATGTACTGGAAATAAATAGTGAACCAGGAGATGTAGCTCCCGTCTAATGCATCATTGAACCTTCGCAGAGACGTACATGCTGTCAAGTTGGTGCTTTTATGGAAAGACGGGTGTTAAGTCTTTCCTCTAAAGACTGTGTGTCTGCACAGGGACGTTGCCCAGCTTGCTCGAGCAGCAGTGAGCGGAGATGAAAATGCACTGGACATGTTCAACTGGAGGAAGGCTGGGAAGGGAGCTCCACTCAAGCTGGGACCTAAAGAAGGGCTGACTTTCTTTGTTAGCACAGGGGATGGTAAGGCTGGACAGAGGCTGCCTGTTGGCTTAATACCTTGATCTTTATATTCAGTGGTAGAATAATTGTGATGGTAATGACCATGGAGAGTTTCAACATTTACTATATTTGTAAACACAAATAGCTTCCAGATATTTGTACGGTATGTCTAATCATTTGGTTGGCTGGATCTTCTTGTGTATTGAGGTATTGCTGATGGTTAATTTAGAATGTTTTATTCTAATTTATTCTGTTGTTTTATTATTTAAGCTGTTATTAATCCAGTCCCTTGAGGAAAATAAATACAATCCAAGACATAAGTGGTGTGAAAAAGAAAGTACACCCACTTACACTTCTCTGGATTTACATATTAACACATATCCAACCTTTATTTAGTCCTCACCAAGTCCTAACAGCACATACAGTAAATCTAACCTCATGTGACAGATAAAACACACACTTTTTACTTTGTATTTAGTTTTGAAAATCAGCCAACATTCAGTAGCGTTGTGTGAAAAAGTGCACCCTGTGATTCAGTAACGGGTGGAACCCCCTTTAGCAGCAATAATTTGAAATAAACTTTTCCTATAAGAGTTGATCAGTCTCTGACATCGCCTGGGAGGACTCCTGGCTTACTCCTTGTTGCAAAACCGCTTCAGCTTGGTGATGTTTGAGGGCATTGGTTTAGGCTCGGCTCTCTCTGGGTCCCGCCACAACATCTCAATGGAATTTAGGTCTGCGCTTTGACTTGACCATTCCAAAATCTAGTTTTTTTTTCTTCTTCAGCCTTTCAGTTGTACATTTTCTGGTGTGTTCTGGAACATCGTCCTGTACCGTGATCCACTTTCGGCTAAGACAGTGCTGTAGCTGTAGCTGTTAGACTCACATTTTCCTCTAGAATGTGGACTTGATGGTTGTCAGGCTTCCAGGTCCTGCACCTGTGGCTTAAATCATCACCCCTCCACCATGCTTGACGGTTGGTCTGAGGTTCTTGTGGTGATACACAGTGTTTGGTTTTCACCTAACATGTTATGTGCATGAAGGCCACACAACTCTGCTTTGGTTTCATCTTTTCAGAGGACATTTTTCCAGAAGTCTTTGGTTCATTCAGGTGCTGTTTTACAAACCTAAACCATGCAGCCGTGTTCTTTTTGAAGAGAAACTGGCTACTCTTCCAAAAAAAAAAGTTCCAAAATTAGCAAAAAACTGAACAAGAATTTGTGTAACTTATTGACAGAGGCCTGTAGATCCCTGGTTGTAGTTTTAGGGTTCTTTGCAGTCTGTAGGAGCATCATACAGTCTGATCTTGGGATGAATTTGCTGGGACACCCACTCCTGGGTAGATCTTGAACTTGTTCTATTTGTAAATTATCTTTCCCACTGTAGAATGATGGACTTCATATTGTTTGGAAATTGATTTATAACCCTTCCCAGACTGATGAGCAGCGACAGCTCTTTCTCTGAGACCATCACAGATATCTTTTGACCTAGGTGTGATGTATTACCACAAACCTGAATGCCCCAGACAGAACTGACAAAGTTTCTTATTTTATACACAGGTGGAAGCACTTCCCTCATGATCAGCACCTGATTCTGATTACCTTCTCAACTGATATTGAAAGCATCAAGGGTGCACTTACTTTTGAATGGTGGCTGATGTGTTTTTTGTTTTTTAAATAAAGATAAAATACAATTTGTGTGTTTCTACTCTTAGGACTTGGTGAGGACTAGTTATAGGTCTCAATGTTTTCATTATTGGAACCATCGAGTCTTATGAGGGTGTACTTTCTTTTTCACTTCACTGTACTTCCGTTATATAGCAGGTTGATCAGTTTCAAATTTTGCAGCCTGCAGAGCCCTAGATACGTGAACATCAGGTAACAGATATTTTCTGCTTCTAATTTTGAGTACATTATAATGGAAATATATGTGTAGTCCAAATTATATTGAATATATTTTTACTTCATTAGTGTGATTTGTAACAAAACTCTTCAGCTTGCTTAATCTGAAATTGATCATATTCCTGTGCATAATGAGTCTGTTATACTTGCTCTGCAACAATTATAACGTTGATCTTATTCTACAATGTCACATTTACGCTTTTACGTTTCTTGGTTTCCTTATTAATTTGATGCTTTACCAAAATCTTTTATACCTTTGTTTTAAGAAATAGTATATTTTATAGTCACAGGAAAAATATTACAGCCAGCATAATTATAGATGTAGAATAAGTTACAAAGTTATTTGTATAGAATGTATATAGTGCTGTTCCTCCAGAGGGATCCTAAAGCTCAAAGTCCAGTTGTACTACTGGTATGCCAATAAAGACCTCCAGTTTTAAACTAGACACTAGAACAGACAGTAGAGCTGTTTTGGTGATGCGTTTGACAACTGCGCACGAAAGACGCTAACCTCAGTGAGTCCACCCATTTCTCAGTTCTGCAGGTGGCGCAGGAGAGCGTGGGTTCAGATGCTCAGTACGCCGCGGTGTGCATGCTAACCTAGCCTGGATTGTCCCGCCCCTGCAGGCAGCGTGCACTGTGTGGACGCGAAGGGGAAGAGCAGCCCGGTGCTGAGCGCGGACGGCCCCGTGCAGAAGCTGCTGTACCTGGAGAAGCGCGACGTGCTGGTGGTGATCACGCAGACCCTGCTGCTGTCTCAGCACAGCGTGGGGCCCGAGGGCGGGACCCAGGAGATCACGAAGGTGGAAGGACCTGCGGCTCGGATTCGCAACACTAAATAGTCGTGCTTTTACTTTTGGAACTTTTAGCGAGAATTGTGCTGAATTCCCCGTGGTATTAATGTAGTAGATGCATATGTAACAAAACGGCTGACATACAGGTTGTACGAGCTGGTACAACCTCCCTCTACTCCCCTGTGCATAACAGGGATGTTGGCCGCCCGGGCTGAGGGAGGCGTTCCTTAGCTCAGCCGGCAATATACCTGATCGACGCTGGAGACCAGGGTTCGATCCTGAGGTGGGGGAGGAACTGGGGCGGGAGCGGCAAAGGCAGAGACCCCAGGAACCCGAACTCGCGACACATAAAGAGCTGCGGTGTCATTTTGATTACGTACAGTGGTTTACTGAATGTAGATACTAGTTGCAGATATTAATTTCGCTAAAGTGTTTAATTTCATACAGTGGCTCTGATGGGCTTTGCATGTCTCAAAGAGCCTAGTGAAGTCAACGAAGAGCCCTGGTGCTATGCTGAGGCCAGCTGTAACGAGCCAGGTTTGTGTGTGCTGGCAGGTGAAGTTGAGTGGGAAGAGCGGACAGAGGGCGGACATGGCGTGGGCGGAGCGGGGCCTGCTCATCACCGCCACAGAGGAGAGTGTCATCAGGTAGCAGCCCTGTTTCGCTGAATGGGTATCTTGATGATCACAGACCCTGAAAGGGGTTGTTTCAAAAACCTGCTACAGGCGGTTGAGGACCATATATTGACACATTTTGCCTCAGTTTTTCTTTTGGATTAGAATGATCTCTCGTTTTTAGTTTTGGAAAGCAAAGCATATCTCTTAATTTGCATGCCTCTGCATTGTACAGAATTGTATTTGTATTTTGACATCTTGTAGAAGAAGAATCAGGTTTTGCTGCAGACTGTTTCACAGAGTATAGTAATTATATCGTGATGATGTTTTACTGAATGTTAACGGTCTTATGTTTTAGGCTGTGGGACCTGGAGAGAGATGATAATTATGTGCTGTCTCTGGATGAGAGTCTTGGCTATGAATCAGGAGAAACGCTGAACTGTGTATCTTACTGTGCACCGAAGGGTGAGCTCTCTGTCGTACACACACATGTTGAAGAGTTTGGACCAAATTGCTTATTCTCCCATTACTAAAGGATGAATGTTGTTTTTTATTTTATTAGGTATTTAAAAGTGTCAGAAAAAAGGCAGAAGGAAAAAAGGCATACAAAAATCTAGATTTTATCTAGAAGGAGATGAGAGCAAAGCAATTGTAATGAATTATTTCTTAAGCTAGCAGTTCTGTAAAGAGTCTCTTCATAGTCCTTCAAAGAACCACTTTGAATGTATTTCCAGTAACCTTTTTTAATTACATGAATCACTGGCCAAATTACATAAATACCTGTTTTGTGGAAAATTTTGTCAACAAGAAAAAATTGCACAATATTATTAATATTCCTTGTCATCAGCCTATCCCAAAAGCCTACAAAAGGAAATGTATTTTTATGAGACTACAGAGTGGATCAGTTCTTGTGTATTTTCTGGGACAATGCTGAGCATGTTTTTAATGGTCTGACTGATTACTATCCCTAAGGTATTCTGGCTGCTGGGACGAGCCGAGGTCGCATTGCCATGTGGAGGAAGGTATCCGTGGTTCATCAGGGTAGGCAGAAGACCGATGGGAAGGACCAGTGGTTACTACAGACTCCAACAGAGATAGAGGGGAATATCACTCAACTCAAGGTGCAGCTTTTAGAAACGCTGGGACAGCGTACCTTACAATATATGAATTTTGCATAATGAACTTCCAGGTTATAAATGAGAGAAGGCCAGTTCGCTGGTTTGGTTGTTGGTAGATAGGTGATCCAAGTGTCTCACCCTGCCTTCTTTCAAGATACGGCTAGACCGCATCTTTGAGAACAGGGCGAATATGGGAATATCTTTTCTGGAAGAGTTTTGTCTATTAGTCTATGGATAATATTTACTCTTCTGTGCATTATTATCTGTACTATTGTTAGAATGTCTTCAGGTCGTGAAGATTTAATTTTTCTAGTACTTGTAACACTTCTGCCTCTTCTATGACAATATTAATTTAACCTTGGATAAATTAACCAGTATCACGACATTCAAAATGTATGATACGATGAGATAGGAAATCTATGATTGGGTCTCAAAATTAATATAGAATATATTTTTCCTTAGCTTGAAGATTTTTTTTTATATTAGTCATGTTTCTCTTTCATCATCTAGAACCTTCCCATTATTATTTCAGGGACATGTCTGTACTTTATCCTTTACTGTTGTAATACTGCACAAAATATTATTTTAGTCTTCATTGTAATACTCTTCAATGTCTCTCTCTTCGGCTGAACATCCATTTTGACATGCACTTGCAATGTATTGTACTCAGTTGATTTAACTGGATGATCTTATTTTTTTATTATTTTATAGATTGGTTTCCTTCACCTTGTATTTCTGTTAAGATACAAGCCATCAAATTATTTGGGTAACATTATAATGCTTCAATGTTGTTTACCATGTCCCCTGATCGGTGATACATTTCAAAAAGCTTGTCTAGTACTGCTCAGACGGTTCATTTAGTTTTTAAAGTCAATATATTTGCAAGATTAAGACAGTAATGTCTTTTTATTTTCTTGCTTGTTCAAATTCTTATTCTTGCATTGAATATTTTGGAGTTATGTTGTTATATATACAGCATATTTTCCTGTTTCTTATTGTAGGTCAGATAACCTGGAGTTGATCTGGATTCAATTGTGAAGTAACCCCTCTCTCTGTCTCTTTGCAGTGGGGCTCTAGTCTGAATATCCTGGCGGCCAACAACCTGAGCACAGTTTTGATCCTCTCTGAGCATGTCATGTCTGCTCACTTCAGCCAGCAGGTGGCAGCAGTGCAGCTGGCTCCCAACCAGCTTAGCCTGAGCTACTTCAACTCGGGGGCCCACCACAGCCTGCGTACAGACATGCACATCAACGGCGTGTGTGTCACAAAGGTAATGGCAAGTTAGTCTTTGCTGCAGGGCTCCACTAGACGATGCAGCATTATCAAGAGACTACTTTACCAATGGAAATCACATGAGCTTTCGCCATTGATAATGGATTTACTCAGTTATCGTTCTATATTTTTATTTTTTCATATACGTCACCAATCAAAACATTATACCGCAACAGCACAGATTATTCCTAAGTGCCTGCGATATGCTGTAGGTTGCTGAAAAAATGAAGGAATCAGGTTGTGTTCCTCTGCAGGGAAAAATGAAGAAAAAAAATTAAACTCGTTTAAGTTGTGTCTTGGCTACCAACCAGTCTGGCGGACACATAAAACAGTTTACGTGAATGGTGAATGTGAGACTTGTAATGGAATCTCTGTGCATACTTACTGTACTTACTTACTAAGAGCAAGTCTCATCACTGTAGCGTTTAACATGGCATTGATTCCGGCTGTCCTGTCCCTGTCTCTCTCCCTGGTGTAGGACACAGTCACAGTGTGGAATGGAAAGCAGGTCACTGTATTTGAGTCCTCAGGAGCGGCACTGCATAGCACAGGTGAGACTGCTGCTGGTCAGCAGCTATTATACAGCTGCTGCCAATCTCACTGCTTTAAAACACAAATCTTCATTAAAGCACTTCTCCCAAATTGAGAAAAAAGTATTTAGAACTTTCCTTTATAGAATGTGAGTAAAACTGGGTATTTGTTTTAATTCTTAGACCCTTTGCGCTTTCACAGTTTTCCCATATTATTGTTCCATGTCACTGTTTTAATTCAGACGATTGAAACGGTAAAACAGCTACAAACGAGGGGCTGTTCAGCCCATTGGGTCCATTTAGAAGTAACTAACTGATCTGTGTCAGCTTCAACAACATGGCTGTTTTTTCAGACTTTCACAACCTTAAACTTCCCGTTCTTGGTTTTAAATGGGCAGAGTTGTGGCACTGTGGCTAAGGATCTGCGCCTGTGGCTGGAATGTTGCTGGTTCAAATCCTGCAGCTGGCAGAGGAATCCTACTCCGTTGGGCCCCTGAGCAAGGCCCTTAACCCCAAGTGCTCCAGGGGTGCTGTATAAATGGCTGACGCTGTGCTCTGACCCCAAGCTTCTCTCCCTGTCTGTGTGGGAGCAAGTTGGGGTATGCGAAAAGACAAATTCCTAATACAAGAAATTGTATATGGCTAATAAAGTGATCTTATCTTATCTGATCTTATCTAAATGCAATTCTATCAGATTCCCACTAACGTGTTCTAATTTTGTTTGATTGTTGAGAAGAAGTCTTCTTCTCAACAAAGAAGGCACTTTGTTACTGTCTTTGCGGGTTTTGTACGTGTGTATTTCTGGATTCCTGCTAATCGCAACTACAGGTCTATTTTTTGTCAATTTATTTCTTAATTTATATGTTTCCAATAACAAGTGTAATTTGTAAGGAATACCTTTAATGTTTGTCCAGTATATTTGTTTGTGTGTGTGTATATTTCAACTCTTCTGATTTAGTCCCGATGACTTTTTGTTGCTTTGTCACAGGCTTCTTTCCTTGTGAATCTCTGGTCCTCGCTGTGCATGAAGATAACATCTATACTGTGGAGCTTAACAGGGTGCAAGTGCGCACCTTACAGGTTAGTCTGACATGCCTCTCTCTGTTGCCCTGAGAGTCTGCAGTGTGTGGATACATCCAGCCTGCAGAGCATGGTTCTAGGCTTTCTCCATTCAATGGACTACAGCATTAGACTATAATATAATTATTCCTCATGTTTCTACCCTTTGCAAAGAACTGTTTGTTGGCTTTAGCTGAATCAATTTCTTACATTTTTTTGCTTTATTAGATCTGGAAGCAAGAAATGTGTGGCTTGGACCCCCAAAATTGAGCAGACTATGGTCAAAGTTAAAATCTGTCCATATAGGAATTTGTTTGATGAGAAGAATGCTTTTATTCCTTAAAAAAAATAACGTTACAAAACCCACAATGCGTTGACTGGAAAAGTGACAAAAGCTGACATGTCCACTGTGTGCCATAAACGTTTCCGCTGGTTGTCTCTCCGCAGGGTACAGTGAAGCAACTCTTGGCCTTCTCGGAAGCAGAAGGAACCCCTCTGCTGCTGAGTGTCTGCAAGACTTTCCTGGCTGTCGGCACAGACACCGCACACATTAAGGTTTTTGACTTGTCCCGCAGGTGCAAACCCTAACCTACCATTTACTCATCTAAACTAACATGCTATGCGGATTAGAAAAGTAAAGGGCTGTTCCTCTTCACTGTTTGAATGTCGTTTTTTTTTTTTTCAGGGAAGCGAAGCCTCACTGCAATGCAAAGAACCTGAATGAGCTTATCCCAGGCCTGGGAGCCTTGTCTTCAGTAAAGTGCAACGCTAATGGTAGCCAAGTCAGCATCATCGTTACCAGGGTAAGTGAGAAATTAATGTGTACTGCAGGTTAAAGATCATCCCGGTTTTGCTAAATATAGTTGTCCTTGGCGTGTTTAACCATTCCATTGCTTCTTCCAGGCCGATGGGAGCTGTGATTCCAGGGTGTATTTCTATGATGTGGAAATGGACACTTTGACCTACTTTGACTTCTCCAAAGGCCGACCTCACAGTGGGATCCTCCAAGGAGAGGAGCCAGAGAGGTAAGCTTGCTTAAGAAGCAGAAAGTCTGGCTTCAAATAAGTTTGAGGGATATTTATTACTCTTCTGATTTTTTTTTTTTGCTTAGTTTTATGTTGCAGCACTGAATGTTGAAGTCTGGGGTCTTTTTTTGAGGGGAAAAAAGAAAAAGCAACATAAAATATATTATTAAAATAGTAAATAAACATATGAACATTTTTGAAAATCTTTGTGAATCTATCTGTCTCGGGAATACTGAACTGGTGACTCTGTTTCTCCTTCAGGACCCAATCGGAGAACAGCGAGCTGTGTGGCCGGTCTCCAGTCAGCCAGTTCTGGGATGAAAGTGAGCCTCGACTCTTTGTGTGTGAGGCAGTATTGACAGGGACAGTCCCTGTCCAGAATAACAGCATTATGCAGGTACCAGGTCTCTTTCCTTTGGGCTAGTTCTGTCCACTCATCTCTGGCTTTGTGTTATGCATATACTGTACTTGTGTAGAACTGTGTTCTATTTAGTCTGTGGACCTTAATTCTGTTACGATCCGGCTGGTGATTTGTCAGAAGAGCCCAAGTGCAAGGAACGCCAGAGGAGAGCAATCCACGAGGGAGGGAAGGAATTTCCTTTGGATCCACTGGGGGAAATGTCTGCGAGGAACTGGTGACAACAAAACCTGTCTTTAGTCCCCTCTCAACTCCTGGAGCACCTGCTCAGCACAGCTGTCCCAGTCAGAGCCCGAGAACAAGGAGTCCTCGGGGAGCTCAGGATAACGGAGTAATGCTCGTTAGGCATCAGAACAAGGCTTGGCTGGGGCGCAGTAAGGTGGATTAGAACTGAACAAAAAAAAA